ACAACTGGAAGGATGGAACTACAGTTGTGCAAAGGAAGCTGACTGCTTATGAGCAACTAATATTTAAAGGCTTGGCTAGCAAATTCAGCAGTGGATATTCCTCTCCAGGTTATACTGTACCATGTTAGGTACTTCATTTGTTGACATATCCATTCAGATGATCATCCACTCAGTGTTCAAAATTAACTGTGCAAGATTTGGAGTTTCACAGAACTTTTCCACTAGCTGAGTATTTGGGAAATACAGAAATCAGTAGTGAGCAATGTTTGTCTGTAGAATTGATACTAAAGAGGCCTCTTGCAGTACCAAGAACAAACCTAAAGAAAAACACAGCTAGTCATCTCTCCTTATATATAATTGAGTAGTGAGGTGGCACTTTCTGAACATTTCATACACCTCTAAATCACTTGGCTCCATGATGTGTCACTCAGAAGCTGTCCCCATCCAGGGCGGCTTACAAATAAGGGCAGCATGTGCCAATAAAACAATAAAATCACACATAAAAACAACCATTATTAACAATAATAAAGTGCTCAAAGATGTTATCAATTTAGTCAAATCAAGATGGTGACCTGTAAATATATAATAAAACAATGCAGCACACAATACAAAATGGCAAGTAACAGCAAAACAACTGTATGCTGAAATACCCGCAAGAGTAAATGTACAAAAAGAGACTTCAGCAAAGTGAAACACATATGTAATCAGCAATAAATCTGTACATAAAATCCATCATAGGAAATATAGAAATCTACAGAATGCATCAAGTCCAAAGTAGATATCCAATACTTTTCCTAGGTAGCATACAGTGTTTCAGACTTCTGGTCCTTCCTCAGGAACAAAGAGCTATAGAAATACAAAATACAATAATACCTTTTAACAATATAGTTAAATAAATCCCAACATTGCACAAAAATCATATTAAATACAAATAGCTATTTTTATCAGTCGCTTTATGAAAAGTTTTTATTGCTATCTTATTATGTACTGTTCTGTAAATAGTAGTGTCTAGATAATTAATAGAATTAGTATCAACCATAAAGGAAAATGCAATAGAGGGATGAATTGGTGTAAGGAGGTTGCATCATTGTAAAACAATAAACAATCATCTATAAAGTGGAAATATTTCACACAATGAATATAAAAAGGATTAACATGAGCATCTAGAATGAAAGTATTTTCAAAATCCTGCATGAATATATTTGCTACAGAAGGTGCTACGGCTGATCCCATAGAAACTTCATTTTTTTGTAGATAGTAAATATCATTACAGAAAAAAATATATGTTCAAACAGGATATCCAGAAGGTCCATTAAGAAATGAGTAGGTGGTACATCTAGCTGTCTTAACTCTAACCGATCTTTAATTAACATGCGTGCTTCTTCCAAAGGGATATTGGTATACAATGATGTAACATCCATTGAAACTAGTACAGTAGAATCCATAATCTGTATGCCTTCTATTTTATTTATAAGATCTTTTGTGTCCTTTAAATACGCCCTTCCTGATGTAGCCAATGGTTGTAAAAATGAGTCAAGGTACTGGGCAATAGGCTCCAAAATAGCTATTTACATTTTGATTCATTTCATGTTCCTTTTCTTAAATGTAATCTTCCCTTTTCACAATTTCTTAGAATTAAACGGAATTCGTCTGAAGATTCAACTTTTATTAGGGAAAGTAGGAACATGTCTCAACAATTTTTGGACAGAGGCTATCCCAAGAGAATCGGCTAGGGCACAACAAATCAATAGGAAAGAATTTCTACAGGAGAAGAAAAAACATCCACGACAGAACATCTTTACAGCATTTGATTTTACGCCTAAAGCTTTGGAAATCAAAAGGATTGTCCTGAAACACTGGCATGTATTATATAATATACCAGGTTGCCAGAAAAAGCCATATATTGGTTTTAGAAGAACTAAGAATTTTAGGGATTTTCTAATTAGAGCTGATCCTCTAAAACAGAGGCGAAATCAAATAGAAGCTATATCAAAGCCCAATAGGGGACATTACAGTTGTGACCATTGCTCGGTCTGTAAATTGACTTGGCAAACTAATAAAGTGAAGTCTCTTTTTGTACATTTACTCTTGTGGGTATTTCAGCACACAGTTGTTTTGCCGACCTGTAAATATACCCAAAAGCCCGCATCAACGGCGTTGACTCATCTCAGTACTGTTGCAAGATCTTTATACTGGGCCATCCTGTTATCCCATTGTTGCCTCAGAATAGTTGTTGTTGGTGGTAGTGGCGGCTCCTAATTAAAAGCCTGGCGGAAGAGCTCCATCTTGCAGGCCCTATGGAACTGTAAAAGGTCCCACAGGGCCCTGATCTCCTTCGGGAGCTCATTCTACCAGGTAGGAGCCGGCACTGAAAAGGCCTTGGCCCTGGTTGCTGCAAGTGTGGCCTCCCTGGGGCCTGGGATCACTAGATGATGTTGGCCCCTGGGGCCTGGGATCACTAGACAATGTTGGCCCCTGCGTTGCCTGAGTCCCACCCACAGAGGTGGTGCTCGTCAAAACGTCCCTCAGAAGACGGTTGCTTTGCTCCAGTGAACACAGCTACTGTCTTTGTTCTCCTCGCCAGATGACGATTGATTCCCTCAGGGGACAAAACCCACTGTCTTTAGCCTCCAAGCCAAGTTTGCTGAGGCAACACTTCCCAGAACAGAAAAAAACCCCTGCCAAGTAAACAGCTGTTAGCGTGGTGGAGGTGGGGGGTGGGCTTCTAGAGCTTGTTGTATTGCTTTTACAATGAGCTTTACTGCTAGTTATATCAATAATGCTGGAAATAAAGTTCAAAAAGTACATTGTACCCATTACTGGTCTTACAAGTTCAGTCTAAAAGAGACTTGAATTTTGCTCATTAAATGCACAATTTTAAATATGAATTTGTCTACAAATCTTTTTTAAGCCATCACCAACCTATGACCAGTGCAGCTTTTAAATATTTGCCACTAGATGGAGCCAAATACCAAGTGCAATAAATTAACATCAGAAGAGGAAAAATGTAAAAGGTGTACCTACTGTGGCATTGAGACTGTTTTGTTTCATTGGAAATTGTCTGTGCAATATTTTTATAGCGAAGTTATCTACATGCTTGACAAGTTATTGAGGTAACGGAGGTATTGGTACTCTCCTTCCACAGGAAAAAAATCAATAAAATGGCAAGTGAAAGCAAAGTGGTCCCTTTAAAACCTTGGTGTCACTTTTAAGACTTATTCCTAAGCCTCATCTTCTCTCTTGGAGATAAAGCACTGCTATGTCAAGTGGGGTAACATGCTTGGCTGACTATGGGTGACCCCCCCCCATCCCTTTCATGGCCTGGATGTGCTGGGCTTTATGAGCTCTGTAGTTATCATAGCTTATAGCTAACCACATGTGTGTATATTCTCATTCACACTTGAACGTCTTCTCAGGCTTAAGCAGTATGTCCACTACTGCAGACAAATGTCTGCATGCATATAAAAGCTGCTTCTGCCTGAAAGTATGTGGTGCTTATTTTGAGTTCCATTCAAAGCTACTTAGGCTGCTACCATCCCTGAAAGAGTAAGCAGACCAATGTACATGTCCTGGTAATCTCTAAAGTGGCCTACTGCAATGCTCTATTAAAGAGGATTCAGCAGCTCAGTGAATCCACCAGCCTTCTTATTCGGAACATTGAGGCTATTGGGACCTATAAGTGTTTCTGCAAAAAACTCAGATGATTCTCACTTTGTTTCTGGGCATAATTCAAAGTGGTGGGTTAGCCTTTAAAGCCCAAAATATTTTTAGCCCTAGTACCGCAGAGAGTGGCATGCATGTTTCCTACCTTCCTCTAGCCTAAGGGACCTTCCTCCAATTTAAGTCTCTCTTTCGTTGGAGGAAGAGCTACTTAAGTTGGAAGAAGGATGCCTAGGCTGGAGGAAGGCTTTAGACTTTGTTCAGTGGAGTTGTAGTGGTAGGATACATGCTACTATCTTCTCCCATGTGAAATTTCTCAGTGCATATAAATTTAACGTAATTTTAAAAATCTGCAATTTATGACAGCTGTTATTCTGTCCTTCCTTCCAAATTGAAGATTGTCAGATTTAGGCTGCCAGGCAGGGTATGGTGAGAACATATGGGGGGGGGGGGGAACCAGTGTCCCCAGCATGGTGGCTCTCTAGCATTTACCCCAGACTCTTATGGTTTAATCATAGAGTTTGGAGTGTATGTTAGAGCATCAGCTGATGTGATTATGTCACTTCCGGGTTGCACTGAAAATGGCATCATCACACTAGGAATGCTGATTGCCACCCCATTTTCCTCCCACCACCCAGCTGAATAGCACACTGCTAGCAACCCTAGTCAGATTATATCCCAGTGATTCTGCCTGTCTGAACACTTTATTGTGTTCCATTTTATTCCACAGCAAGTGGCAGAAGAAGATCATGAAAGGCAAGTGAAGGAATGTGATGAGAAATGCTCTTGCTTGCCCCTCTTACACAGGCAGATGGGATCTCTGGATTATGTTTGGCAACCTTAATTTTAAATTATTGGAAAGCATTTGACATACCAAACTTGCACCATCTAAGAAGGTCTAGGTCTGCTCAGTGTCTGATGGCAGATTCCTCCTATCTGCTGCCTTGAGTTCTGTGGTGGCAGAAAGGCAAAAGAGAAATGCAATACACCCGGGTTTTTCACACCCTTTGTGATGCTGAGGCTCTCAGCCTAGTTATCACTGACCCATTTTAACACTGAAAATAATCTCCAGTTGGGTGTGATGGTATCTCATAATGAGGTATGTGTGTGTGTGTGTGTCTATGTGATTTCCCTGTTTGGATTTTATTCTGGAAGATTGAAAGGTCTGTTTAGCGTCAAAACTGAAATATTTTATAATACAGATGCATAAAGCATTTTGATAACTATAACCAAATGTATTGGGAAACTATCAAGATAAATTTATTTAGTGATATCAATTAGAATTCCTCTCACCCCATCTTTTTACTCTTGAACACCATTTTCTCTTCTTCTCTTTTTAGTGCAGTATCCTTGGAAACAATCTCAAAGACCTGGTCGATAAGTACCAGAACTATGAGGATGCCTCCTCTGGACTTCTGGCAGGACTCCAGGCCTCTGAAGAAGCGGTTAATAAACATCTTTCTGAGGCAGTTGCCGTGAATCCAAAAACTCTCCAGAGACAATTAGAAGAAACCAAGGTACAGCAATTGAAAATATTGGAGTTTTGTTTATGTTTATAAGAGAAGGATTGATGAACGACTGTGATTTTTTCCATGTGCGTGTTACATCTGTCAGCGAGATCCTTGAAATATCTTTCAGATTAGTGTAGTGTATAGTTTTACAGAAAAGTTGTGTCAATGTTGAGTGAGTGGTAGATCTTGCTTCCAACCTATCTCTGGAAACTGTGACTACTTCAGTAGCTTTGATGGATGTTCTGTGGCTAGAGATCAATAAAGGAAATATAATTCTATTGATCATGTTGGGTCTGTCTGTTGCTCTTTACTTTAGATCCTATATGAAGGGTCATATATGAATAATACTTTTAATCTTGCTTCTTTCTTTCTTGTCTGGGTGCTCACAGCCAGTAGTTATGTTTGTCATGCCTCCCATTTTCCTTCTAAAAAGGAAAGCTTCTCATTTAGAGCCAGTCTACAGAGTGCCTCACGGTTCTGTTCTGTTCCTGTTCCTGTTTAACTCATTTAGGAAGCCACAGGTAAAGATCATCAGGGGGCACAAACTGAGGTGTCCTCATTGATGACACCCAGCTTTCTTTGTCTCTTTCATCAGCACTTATTGTGGTGGTTGTGATTCTGAGTAGTGAGTGGCAGACATAGTTAACTGTTGATTTGAGGTTGGCCAGTTTTATGAGGAATATATAGAAAAGGTATGACAGTTGGCATTCCATTGGGGAAGTGGGATACAAAACCCGAATAGGATTTCAAAAGATCAGTGGTTACAGTTCATTTAACCAATCAAAAATGTTGCTGGTTTGTGAAAGAGTTGCTAGGCAACCACAGTGTGCTCATCCTTCGTATCCCATAGGCCCACTACACTGAATGAAAAGGAGAAAGAGGATCCTGGAGAAACTAATGTGGTGCAGTTGTTGAAGTGCCAGATTAGGAACTCTGAGGCCCAGATTCAAATCCTTATATGTCCAGGATGCTCACTGGGAGACACTGGGCAAGTTACTGTATCTCATGAGGTGTAACCTGTCTCACAAGATTGTTGTAAAGATAAAGGGGGCGCGCGATCACACACACAATTAGAGGCGGCGTCAGCGTGAATCCCAGGTGGCTTTAAAGGGCGTGATCAGACAGGAACATCTGGCAAGCGACCTGGAGTCATCGGCCCGTCTTGAGGCACCATGGAAGTTGGAGTAAAAAGGCACCAGGAAAGTGCAGTAGTTTCCCGATAAGGCAGGTCATGGGTGGGCGTCTGATTGCGGAAGCACCTCCATCCCGTGGCTGTCAGCACGCGTTGGCGTCCCACCATGACACCGGATTTTTTTTTTAGCCTACATACTATGTGCACAAGCGCGCCATTGCGCATGCGCACAACTGCAGAACAGCTGAAGCAGATCGCCATTGCACCAGGCAGTGCACCGCAGCCCAGCACAACAAGTGCAGCCAGACAGCAGAAACAGTAAAGTCCCCCCAAACTACCAGCAGGCCACCCCCTCCCACTCGTGGGTGACTCAGGGTACTCAGGATTTCTGGGGTGCGAGGCCTGTCATGGAGGCGGGAGGAGACACTGGACCTGTTGGCTTTGTGGGGAGAAGCCAGAGTCCACGCTGCCCTGAGGCAGAGCCACCAAAACTTAGAACTCTATGAGAAGATAGCCAAAGGTATGGCTGCCCGGGGGCATAAACTGTCTGTCCTTGAGTGTCACTCAAAAAACAAAGGCCCTGCATCTTGAATACAAAAAGGCAATGGCTCTGAATGCCAAGTCTGGTGAGTCGAGAGCGACATGCCCCTACTATGACGAGCTAGACAGAATCCATGATGGGGAAAGTGGGGGCCATCACTCCAGCCAGGCTTCCAGTCTGGGTGGAGAAATGGGACAGCTTCTGGCACACTGTTCTGCCACAGTCAGTGCTCCTGCCACTGGATTGCCGTACTGGCCTCCAGGGGACGGATCTCCCCCCCGTCACCTTGGACAGGCCCCCCCCAAAGTGGGGTCCCACGCTGAGGCAGCATCCCCTGGACAACCACACATCCTGCCACAGACACCCCCCTGGTGGCCGCGAGTCCTCACCCAGTATGCCAGTGGCACCGTGAGCTGGGAACCATACTGCTCTTGAGGTGGCTGGATGGAGACCACAACGATGTGGGGCTACTGGGGAGGACTGAAAAGTACTGGGCTCGCCGCACACGTTTATTGTACTTCACACTGGAACTAACAAACGGCCCTGCAAGGCCAACTATATACACACCCACCCATTGGAGGGTTTGAATTTCCCACCAAAGTGGCTATTGGTGAATGCTGGGGGAACTAGGATCCTAGACTTATATTGTCTAGAGGATCCAAGCTCCTTACTGTAGGAGCCTGGTGGCGGTCCTGGTGGCCCTACCTATGTAATATAGTCCTGCAAATAGGCGGGGGGCTGGCACTCTCTGAGGGAATGCTGGGGGGCTGGTACTGGGTCACTGGTGACGGGTTCCAGTTGACGGGCTGTGACCTGTGGCTGGGCCACCTATTGCGGCAGCTGAAGTGCTTCTGGCTCTGTTGGTTCTGGCTGTGTTTCACTTGGTGTAGCCTCCTCGATGCTCAGGGGGGTGGGCTGAACACTGGGTTCTTGTGTGTGTGTCCCGGTTCCCGCCGTCAACTGTGGTGGTTCTCCTGCCTCTGGGAGCTGTCGCCTCCTTAGTTGGTTGAGGGGTTTCTTTAAGAGCCTGCCGTTGTCTGTCGACACCTCGTAGGAGACTGGGCCCATGACTTTGATAACTCGGCCTGTGATCCAGGGAGGTCCAGTTCCATAGTTACGGATGAATACTGGGTCCTCCAGGAAGAACCCTCTCGGAGCCTCGCACTGTTCGACCATCCTCCTTGAGTCCGGTGCCCAGTCTTGGTGTAGCCGATCCAACAGGGTTGCGGGGCACTGGCCCATCAGCAAATTCTGCAGAGCTGTGGCTGGTGACGGGGTTAGGTGTTGTTCTATGGGTCAAGAGGAAGCGGGCTAGTCGGAACTCCCAGTCCCCATCTGTAATCCTGCTGAGGGCTTCCTTTGCGGTACGCACCATCCTCTCGGTCTGGCCGTTGGTCGCGGGGTGGAAGGGCGTGGATCGGATGTGCCGTATCAGGTTCCGCTGGAGAAATTCCTGGAACTCCGCCGACATGAAGGCTGCCCCGTTGTTGGAGACTATTGTGTCTGGCAGCCCGTGCATAGTGAGGGTCCGGCGGAGGGATAGGATCATGGCCTTGATCATTTTTGGGTCGAAGTGCAAGCAGAGCAGTGCAGGGGGCCACCTTGGGGTCAAGCTGCAAGGAAACCGGGGGCCCTTTATAACACTCTAAAGCCCCATTGAAAATGGCGGGGAACTCCCCACAAACCTCCGCAAAGTTCCTAGTTACACATTTATTAACACCCCCAATTGTGATGCCCAATGGCACGAACCAGGCCCGCCCCAGCAAACTGACAAGATTTCCCTCCACCACAATCAAGTCCAGCTAAAAACCCCGGTACTGCACCCTGAAAGTCCCCACACCCCGGATAGGAACTGGGTTCCTTTGGAAGTCCACCAAACACAAAGGGGAGGGGCATGAGCGGGGTCCCCCATTAGGGCAAAGTCTGTGCAGCATGTCCACTGAAATGATGGATGCCGCCGACCCAGAGTCCACTTCCATAGGGCAGGGGGACCCCTCGATCCGGACCGTTACTTGGATCTTCGGGGTAGCAGATAGGTTGGGGAGGCGTAATACCTGGAAGGATGGCCGGTCGGTGAGGAGGTAGAGTTTGGAGGTTTCTGCTGCGGTCTCATAGGTGGCAGCGGCCTGGCGTCGGGGCTGGGCTGGAGGTTGCTGGTGCCGGTTTCCCTTGGACTGGCAGACGTAGGCAAGGTGACCCTGTTTCCCACAAGTGTGGCAAGTCGCGTCCCGGAACCGATATGACTTGCGCTCATGCGGCTCCCCACAGCTGGCACCCGAGGAACGGCCGGCAACCTTTGTGGGGTATCCTGGAGCTGCGGGTCCCGGTGGCTTCTGGCGAGTGAGTTGGCAGACTAGACGGACGTCCTCCTCATCGGAGTTCTTGGGCGCCGAGTCGGGAAGCACCAGATGAGAAGCTGCCGAGGGTCGGTCGCGGTGGGAGGCCTCGTGTGCGATGGCGAGTCGAAGGGCCTCATTGATCTTGATCTCAGCGGTGCCAGTCATTTTCCTGCACAGCTTTACGTCACTGATTCCCCAGGCAAACTGTGTCAGGAGGTTTTCCTCCACCTTGGTGAAGGCACAGTCCATGGCACGCTGGCGCAGGGCAGCCATATATGCAGCGGCTGACTCACCCGGCTTTTGGATGAGGCCCTGGAACTCGATCCATCTGGCGAGCGTTGTTGGCCGGGGCATGAGGTATCTGGTCAGGGCATTGTTGATTTCCTCGTAGGTACATTCGAGGATCGCTCTAGGTACCAGGAGTCGAATGGTATTCATGCCGCAGGAACTGAGGAGAAGGGCCCGTCCTTTGCCTGGATCGGTTACCACATTGTAGGCGAGGTGGCAGGTCAGTTGGTCTGTCCATGAGTCCCAGAGTTCGGGATGGGCTGGATCGAAGATCTCCAGGTTTCCTTGAACGGAGGCCATGGCTTTGGCGTGGAGCAGTGTCCTGGACACGGTGCGTGGTGCGGTGCTGCTTAGGAGCGATGCGGGGTGCGGTGGTGTCAGCTGGATCGATGCTCGGTGCTGCGCTGGGATGCGAGCCAGGCCTTGCTCAGCGGAATCCCATCCTTGTCGCCACTGAAAAGTACTGGGTTCACCGCATGGAGGACTCGAACAACATCCGTTTGCACACATTTATTATACTTCACACTGGAACTGACAAACGGCCCTGCAAGGCCAACTATATACACACCCACCCAGCACACACCTAGTCCCGTTGGAGGGTTTGAATTTCCCACCAAAGTGACTATTGGTGAATGCTGGGGGAACTAGGATCCTAGACTTCTATTGTCTAGAGGAGCCAAGCTCCTTACTGTAGCTGCGGACCCCT